TTATTTTTTATTTTTAGTGTTCTGTCTGACGACAGGTCCATATGACCAGGATCCTTCCATCCTTTTCTCGGACTGGGCCCTGTTCATATACGTTCTTGGCAGATGATCCAGAAGTGGTTTGCCATTGCCTTCTTCTGTGTGTGAATGGAGTAATTGTTGGGATGCCACGGAGAAACCGGGAAGCCCCCGGAGGAAAACTTCGCGTTGCCTAGACCACGGCCTTGCCCAACAGAAGTTATAAATTCGGGCACCGCCGGGAATCGAACCCGAGACCCCAGACCACCGTGGCTAGTTAAGTAGAATTAAAGAAAATAATTAAGATATGACTTAAGTCTTTGTACTGACACGTCAGAGAATGTACGTGTATCACAAACTATTTGCATGAATGTGGTATTAAGCCAAAACGTGGTTTATCGATTCGATTACGAAGTTCTGCTTTGGAATTTCGATACGTCATTCTAGGTCCATATTGCCAATCCCACGAACAGACCCCAACACAAATCGATACTGGTATTCAAAATATTAGCTGGCCTTTGGCTTGAATGAAGCTGTATGCTCGGATGCTTATAGGGGTAGTTTAAATTCTCATTTAACCACGCTCTAGATCACCGGATTGTCTGGCTAAGTTAGGGTTTTGTGAGTTTGCCATCCTAATGATGAAAACAATCAAACACCACAACAACTAGAAATGATACAGGCTTTGTTGAACTCACTTCCTGTTTAACGAAGCCATGCGTGTAAGTTAGGTGTACAAAGGGTATAAAGTCAGCTCGCCACTGCCGATCTGTTTTACTAGAAAGTTGTGACTTAAGACGTTCGCTGCGTATTGTTTAACAGGACTCTTTTATTTAAATATAGGCTTTAGGAATTTTCTTATATCATACACCGTCATGATTTAGAAATGATATACAGGATGTGGCAGTGATATTAATTGATGTGTAAAACTCTCACATTCTTAGATTTAGTAAGAAAAATCACAAAAAAATATCGAAGTCAGAAAAAGATATATTTAAACCGAGATTTGAACCCAGGACATCTTGAATACAAAGCAGTTCTGTCAGACCGCGAATTAAAAACAAAATCACGATCATTTCATTTCACATCATTTGAAATTCACTCTTTAAAATTAATTTGTCACTCGACGCTGTGTTGTGAAGTTGTTATAAAGTTTGTAAACCTGGAATAAAATGGACTCTGCACGTTTCTACATCGTGTAATTGATTAAGGTAGTTTGTTCGTAATGTAAAACACAATTAGGTCAATTTTAGGGAAGTGTATTTCATACCAACCAGCACGTAATTACGCGTCTGTATCTCTGTTTCATTCATGGCTCAGTGTATTACAGTACAACAAATATGGCTGCTTCTCTGTTAACATTTCCGCCTTTCTAATCTCTGGTTATGTTGGTTCTGTATTAACGCTTTTACAAAATGATTCCGCGGCTGACTACGTTGCCACGGTATTACGTTTTAACTACTGTACAGTTTTGTTCCAATTATGTTATCAGATTCAATTTGTAATATCCTGCAAAAACGTTGTAATGAACGTTAAAAGTTATTATGGAAATATCCTGTGGAAAGCTTGGTGTAGATGCGCGCGCAACTTCTAGTCATGGTACTGGAATAAAACTACGAATTAAAAAAATCTCGGATAACGAAATCGCGTATAATTTGAGTCACCTGTAATTGAAGCAAAGTCTCTGGTACCAGAAATTGATTTTTTAAAGCCAGTAACACAAATTCCGTTATTGAATCAGTTTAGTTCAGTCCATTTTATGAAAGGTGAAGAAATTTGAGGTTATGTTTCGATGTTATTTTTTTCATCTAGCAACACTTATTCTGTATTAAAACATGTTTGTTGTTATATTTTAAAGTTTTGTGAGATTTTGCGCTTACAAAGCTTTAATTAATAATTCTGAATACGTTTTGCTTTCTTATAGGCAGTGGCGGATCTATTGCTGGGTGTCTTCTGTATGCCGTTTACGCTGGTGGGACAAGTCTTACGTAACTTCGTGTTTGGAGCTGCCATGTGTAAGCTCATCTCATTCTTCCAAGGTAAAAAGAACTTGTTTCCTAACTGTTACTAAATGTAATTTTTATATATTATATATTTTATATATTAAATCTTGTCCGTCTAATCACAATAAATTCTTATTAAATATTAAAATATTACAATAATTAACATTTAAAATATTTAAAATATCAAATGATGTTCTTTATCGAAATATTCGATTTACATTAGACCATTTTTTTTCACGACATGTTTCAGTTCCTAAAAGAACTATCTTCAGGTGTATACAATTATATAAAGATTCAAACCAATAACAACTTAAATACAATTTCCATATACTATTTTAGCGCACATCTTTATATCAGATTTTTATCAGATATCGAACGATGTTCTGCTCCAGATTTATTCCATTTTAATAATATATTCGATGTTGTTCTGTATATGTACATCATGTTCGATATGACTTTAGTGTGGTTAAATGTTTTTTGTTGTTTATGTATCATCCTGTAATGTAAATAATATAAAGACTAAATGAATATTAATAAAATAATTTTTGTTTAAAGCTTCAAAGGTTTAAATAACCTTTCTGAAATGGGGCTACCTGCAATCTGGCCCCCCTAAAGGGGTACACGGACTGAAAAGGCCACCATATTGAGAACAAAATTTAATTTGAAATATTTACTTGTATGTTACACAAATATAGAATAAATTTAGAAGGGGTTGGTATCATTGTGAAAGACGAGAAACTCGATTTACTGTGTGTGCGCGCGGTGAATCGATTGGTTGAATTTCGATATAGTGTATACGTAGAAGAGACTTCTGGCCGGTGACGTGGTGTGGGCGTCAGATGTTTTTATCTGACATCTGGCTTCGCCCAGGGGTTTTATTTATGCAGACTGATCTATATTAGATGAAGACAAAGGATAAATGTTCCAGTCCCTAGCATTTATGATGAGTCTGTGTAAAGAAAATACGGTATATTTTCAAAAAAGTTTTTCTTATATATTTTTTCTGTTTTGTGTTGCAAACTGTACTGCGTTAATGATGAATCTATTGTTATGTAGAATGTACTTCATTTTTCTCGCTTTGGGCAGCTACTTTAATGTACTAATAGACATCTTTTTTCAACTATTCGTTGTACGTGTTTATAAAAATTTTCTGTAAAGTTTCACTTTTGCAATTTCAAGAGACTATTTGCACTTCGTTAATTATTTGTGATTTCGTAATTGTACAGACTTTTGTTTCGATACTTCTTTTGAGATATTCATTGCTTTGTGATTTATTGTAATAGGAAGTCACATGGACTTAAGACGTTTCGTTGCATAGAATCGTATTGGAATTTGCTGTGGATGATGGGTGGATAAATAAGAATTTTGACGTAACTGAGATAAACCACGAGGAACTTGAATCATGATAAAAGGTGACGTTTTCTGAGATCCAGTTAATAATTTGGACATTATATGAAGGCCGCGGGAATAATTAATAAATAGTTAACATTTTTTCATATCCCGAGGGAATTATTTTCTATTCTTATTTGTGTTAAACACGTCCTTATATGCCATATCCTGTGACGAATTTAGTGTGTTTTTATGGATAGATAATTAACTACACTGTGACGTTTTATAATTCATATTGATGTGTGACTTTGTTTGTGGCGTAGGACTTTTTTAGGTTTCAACAAACCAACATCTTCCGTCAAATACAAGAAGTTCATACCACTTTTCAGTTCGTAAGAACTATTTGTTCATTGATGCAGTATTTGTTTATATTTCGTAATTAGGACGTAGTAATTTAACTTCATGCTTACGTATTTGAAAAAATGAAATATTTTCCTTTGATGATTTTTATTGTTGTTATATTACATTTGACTGTAATAATATATAGGTTTGTTCATAATGTATATATTATTGTTTATTTAATATCGTATCAAAATATATTTGTTAAAATGATATTCACACGCAGTGATATACTAAATTTCTCTCATTCCCAAACTACGAACAACTGAAATTACGCTGTAACGATATTCTTTTGTTTTGTAGGTTGGCAACATGTTTTAGCACTACGAAAATAATTTACGGAACATTCCATAATAGTTGCCGTGAATATTACATTTAGGTTGTAAGAGCATTCTCTTACGAATTTCGGAGGGTTTGTGACCCGTATAATACACATTAAGGGACCCCAGGAAGATGTTTCTGTTCATGGCTTACAAGGAAATCCTTTTGAATCACTCTGAAGTTATAGACGAGTCTTGAAAAACACACTCGCTTTTCGTTGGTGATACATGAAGTAGGAGTCTTAAAATTTAAATTATATTAACGTCTCAGACAGAAGGCTCTTGTGTTACTAATGACTGTTAAGAATTTAATGAGTGGACGTTTTTGGTTTAATCCTCTGATGCTGAAGAGAGAGATATATAAGGAGGATAATAGAAGAGTAGAATATTGAAAGAGCAAATTGGTGGGGGAGAGCCCTCATGAAACAATTGAATTGGGCCGGATTTTACTATATGTTTCCTTAACATATTCTAAAATTACAACTAGGTCTTCAAGTTACCTCTTTCCTTTGAGGTTTTCGAACCAAAACTTTGTGTGATTTCTTGTTTCACTCCTGTATGACGTGTGTATATATATACAAATTTAAAAAAAAACTTTAATTTTTATTAAATGTGTGTATGTGTCGTTCTTGCTGTGTTTAACTTCCGAATTTTAAATCACATGAAATATATCTTATTAATTAGAACGATATTTAAAATTATTTAAGATTTTTTTTTTAATATTTTGTTTCGATTTGTTGGTGTGTAGACGACCCTTGATATCGCATGTTATATCTGTACTACACTGCGTAGGATTTGCATAAATCAAAGGCGTTGCTGCTTCGGAAACGTGTAAGCCGAGATTTAATTAACTCTTTAAAGAGTCGTAATTATATGTACCAGAAACGTCTACAGGCAATAAATTACAATTTCGTATTTATGGGCTTATTATTATTCTCAGTGTAAACAGAGATTATTTCCTTAAACAGGATTAACCAGTTGATACTTTTAATGGTGGTGTTGTGTTTTCTTTGCGGTACGGACTGAATTCTTAAATATAAAAATAGGAAAAGAAATGGTAAATAAGCGCTTTAAAAATAAATTATAACGTGCTGTAAGTTTTCCACATCAATGTCTGTTTGAATTAAAGAATATTTTTGTGTGTAAACAGACAGACGTACGTATGGTATATTGTTCGAGATATTTGCATTTCTTATACCACTCGTTTTACGTTCGAGGTCTGGATTCGTCAGTGACAGACGGCGTGTTGGTATTCAGACGTCGTATTTTGCCGTATTTATAGTAATACAGTCACATGGGGTGTTCCTAGGGACATGTTTTTTTTAACTCCGACTAAATTATAAACGCAGACAGCTTGAAGAACAACAGTGGTTTATGTCACGTGTTCGCGTCATATCACGTACCATTTTAATCTACAAGCTGCTGAGATTTAATGTACACCAAAAATTACCCTTTATTTTATTATGATATCCATAAGAATAAATAATTGTAAGAAAATACATCAGTATGTGATCCTTGAATTTTACGTTATTTTAGACTTATATAAAAATTTAGCGAGTTACTTTAACGCTAGAAAACATAACATAGTGGCTGAGGGAGTTTAGAAAGGATATCCGAAAATTAAATATGTTAAATAGTGAAAAACACTGCTTAGAAGGTTCCCAGGCAATGCTCACTCGTACTTATGATAAGAATAGAATTTAAGTGAAAATGTTAAGGCGATAATTAATGACAGCTTGCCAGTAGAGACGTCGGAATTCTTGTTTGGGTTTTTGTTAAATGTTGAAATTGTAACTATTAAAGTTTAAATACGTAATTTAATGGTATTCATAATAAGGGGATAAGTTTTTATGAATTTAAATGGAAAGGGCTGCAAGATAAGGTTGCAGTGGCAAATTAGAACTTGGGGAATGACAAAAAAAAATTTAAAGATGGCGGGACTCTGGGGCGATAGTTTATGATATTTTTTTGTTTCGAAATAGATGACAACGTAAAACCAAAACCGTGGATTAAAAATTTTATTTTTAAAATAAGATTCGTAAATTTAAATTTAACACTCGTATGTGATTTCGGGTTCTCTCCCCGGCGAGTATAAACGTGATTGTCGTCTGTTCCCATGTTTTATACTGATGATGGAGGCAGCAGGCAATTCTGAAACGTGGGTAAATTTCTGATAGACTATATGGCTCATCGACGAAGTTGACAGCTGTCATCTGGGTTGTTGCATGTATAGACATGCGTGTATATTTAATGCTTTCAAATTCTCCGCCCATTTCATCCTTAATTTGATCAATCTAATAATATTCGAGTCTTACAGATTTTATGTAGAACCCTGGATCTTGGTACTATTTAGGTCTTACGTGTTAGTCTCAGAGTACATTCTAAAATTAAACTTGCTTGTTTGATCTGAAGATATGAAAAGAACTGAATCTTGTTTTAGATTTTTGTAAATGTATGTTTTTAATAATACGTCCCCTGCAAAACAGATATTTTCCAAAAAAATGTTTTTGTTATTGTGAAAATTTCATTTGAAATAGATACTTGTTTGAGGTACAAATTTTATTTTATTGAAAACAAGCGTATGGAAATATTTGTTCAATTAAAGTTTCAGATATTAATGAGATACGTATTTTATAGTATGTTGCAATGTGGTACATGCTTCTGGTGAAATTGATAAAAGCTTGTTTTTGAGCTGCAAGTACATTTAGGGCCATGTTTGTCTTACACGAAAAATATTTAAACAAAAAATTTCTCGAAACTTTCGATCCATCACATGTGCCCAAATTCGTTGGAACTGTTCACTTTTATTCAAACGTTAAATACAAATATGTACAGACAGTTCTGCATAATGTGTTTGTGATCCCATGCTCAAGAGGATAAGTTAGTCACGTGCTGTTATGTTAACACACACCAGATAAAGTTGCTCAGAATAACTTGCGGGAAAGCTCAAAAAGAGAGAGATAGAATGAAAGAAAGATGATCTGTATT